CTGTCGATCCTTCGTCCATACCCTGACCTCCACCTTATTCCCTTTGTCCAACGCTCGTCCTGCCACTTGCGGACTCTTGTCCTAGCATCTTGCAACACCATCGGCGGCCTCACTTCGTTCCTGGCAGCCTGTCCGCTGCTCGAGACTTTCGTTTTGCAAACTTCCTCATCGCGCAACATTCCTCGTGTGGCATCCCTCTTCGATGCGTTGCACGTCGAGTCGGACGACATTCTCTGCCCCCGCCTCTCCTCCTTCGCATACGGCCTCAGGCACGACGTCGTCGTTTCCTCATTGAAGGACTCATTCTTTCGAATGATCGGTTCTCGCTATCGTTCACACCGCCTTCGTACCGTCCGGCTTTTCTCGACCCATTTCTTTTCTGGCATCGAGTGCCCGGAGGAAATCTACGATGAGATCAACCGTTTGGAGGAGGAGGGATTGGATATAAGATATCTCGAAGATGAAGATGCTTGGGACTTCGTGGAGAATCTACGGCCGTGAACTCGATGAGGGTAAGTTGCCTGAAGGAGTTGTCAATCCTGGCAGCTCACAGTTTGTACAGATTTTACATAATTTACATCCTTGAATTTCATTTCCCCTCCTGCCTCCGAGACTCATGGCACACGACTTCATTTTTCAAGTAGTATTCAATCATCGTTCGCTAGATAAATATGAACTAGTGTCCTCAATGTCTGGTCTGATGTCCATTCTGAGCCAACAGATCATATCAAGCGGGTATGACCGCCGTTGCCACATCACTTCCTTCACCCGAACTCGGTGCCATCGCTTGGAACGTAGCCGCTTGCGCAGCAGCAGACGGACCAGACGTGTTTGCAAGCATGCTGAAACGACAGTTAATTAACATCCATACGGTCAACGCTCGATCAACGCTTACTTGGCAATAGCAGCCTGATCCACGGGCGGGGACGCCCCCGTGCCGACGATAGTCTTATGCCCAAAGCTCGGCGCGCCGCTGTTGGTGACGACGTAGAGATATGCCGGGCCCGGGGGGTAGATTGAGCTGGTGGGCGGGGCGTGGACGGTGAGCGTTTTCTTGTCCGCGGAGAGGGTCGATACGAGTTGGACGAGTCGTTGGTCCATGTGGACGCCGTGCGTTTGGAAGCCGAGGTCCATGAGTGCCACTGGGATTCAATGTGAGTTACTATACTACCAGCCTGGTTGGTTGGTACTTGGTAGCCACCGACGCACCTGTGACATTGGTCGTATTGGCAGGGAGCGTAACAGCGAGGTTGAAGGACACGTTGTAGTTGATGGTTGCCGGTAATCCCGTGTATGAAGGCCGAGGGACATTCATGTACGGAGGGGAGAAGAACTCGAGTCTATATTCAGTAGGATACTTGACTGTCGTTACATCATTATTCGGATTTGACCCCGCTGAAAAAAGAGACAGTCACACGGGAGTAAATTGCGAGTGAAATCAAGCCACATACCGAGCATGACAGTGCCATTCGGCGTGAGTGTCGCTGTTGAATGATACAGTCGCGGGATGGTAGACGCCACAAGCCCGGCGGTTGAAAAGCGGCTCCCAGCTGGAGCTGCGGGGTCGTATATCACCGGCAAAAAGGCTTGAAGGATCATCATTCTCTGAATGGCAGACAATGTTGTGAAATTCTTACCTGGGTTGTCGGCATTGCTCTGTCCGATTTGGTTACCGACCTAAATAATCAACACATCAGTGGTTGAACAACCGGAATGATGAACACTCACATTTCCATAGCCCGCCACACCCGTTTGGGCACCATTCACAATCATAACCCGCCCATCAGGCAGGAGCACCATATCCAACATGATCCTCCCTTGCGGCATCGTCTCGACCGCCCAGCCCTTGGCAATGCCAGCGGTGTTCAATACCATCCGGATGCACTGCGCCGACGTGGGGGCCTGGGAGGATATTGAAGACGCTGCCTCGGTGTCACTTATAGTCGACCCGCCGCAGATCATGATCTCTGGTGTATAGTTGTTGGACGGGGAAAGCGGGAGGAGGACGTGGCCTGCAGAGAACGGGGAGCTTGTGCCGGGCATCAGATCCTTTTGAACTTGAAGCAGAACTTGAATGTACATACCTGATTCGAACGCCGTTGGGAATCCCTGGAAGGCGCGTCTCGGTGTTGGTCTGCCAGTTGAGGATCATGGCCTGCTGATTGGCCGATACAAAGAGCGTCCCATCGGGCAGGAGCACGAGGTTGGGGAAGTGGTTCCCGTTGAGAGTATCCTTCAAAAATTGACTCGGGATTTTGAGCCCGTTGAATCCTGTGATACGTCAGCCGAGGGAAAGACGGGATGGATGCCTAATCTAACCGTTGATATTCTGGAATCCATTTCAGGTCAGAAGTCCCGGGTAGATGTCAAGTTTTCCTCACCTTGGGAGGGAAGAATTCGTAAGATGGATTGTTCATTCCTGCACAGTGGTTAGCATCGGCGCGCAGCAAATCTAAGAGTGCTGCATTCTTACCGGCGTTGTTTATGAATCTCGGGACCAATATCAACACATCGAAACCGTGTTTCGATCCAATAAAACTCACCCGCCATTGACGGACCTTGTTGCAATTCAGCCGATAGATGTGGAAACTGCACCATTCAACGTACCCGCCGAATATAATGATTGAGCCATCTTGAATGCGGACCTGATGAGTGCCAATAGGTATGAACGATCAGTCCGGCCAGTTCGAGGAATGGAGCGCACCGATGAAGGGTACCATCTGGCGGACGTCAACCGAATCCTCGTCGGATTTTCATAGACGTCACAAGTCCCAGTGGAGCACGGCGTGAAAAGACGCAGGCCTTGCAGACCGCTCGCACCAGTGATGACGACTGGATTGCCACCAGAGTTGACGAGAGTACCATTGCCGAGGAAACTTCCTGTTGCGCACCACGAGTTACTCAGCGGGTTGAGCGCTCGGACTTGTTGCGTGTTGATATTGAGCTCGACGGCCCATGCGACGTGCCCGTTCACCGTTAGAGGGTTGTGTTCGCTGCAGCGAAGGATGGTTCTGAGCTGTAATTCGGAGCGGATTGAAGAAATTGGCGTACACTTTGTCGTAGATGATAGCTGTGGTTTCAGAGGTTATTGCGAGCTGCATGCCGCTGACGCCCGTGGTCCTGAGCGAATGATCAGCGTCGAGGACTTGGAATAATGGATGGAGAGTGACTGTACCCCTGCTGAACGAGGGACCAGGCACCGGGAATCGAGGCGCGGGCATCTAGTTTGCATAGCGCAGTGGAGAAATGGAAAGCAAGTGCGGAGAGCAAGAGTTGAAGACGAGGCATGGTGTGCTTCGACATCATGGTGGGTTGAATATTTGGACTGGGCTCTTTATACCTGACCCGTACCGCCTCGCATTCAATTGACGGTGTTTGCTCGCCCTTCACACCTTCGGCACCGGTTCCTGCATAAGTCGTCAGCGGCTGCATTCACAGATAGACGGAGAAAGCGAGAATGAACCTGTACCTGTACATGACCACATGCCGGCCGCGGTATTCAGTCTAAGACGGGGCAACACATGGTCCCTGACAAGTACAAGAGGCAATAATGCCACCGGGAGGGTATCAGCGCACAGAGAGCGCGCTGAGCGCGGGGTGAAACATATCATAGACTTGCTAGTGCTGCCAGAGTGGAGCAACGTCCCGCGGTGTCTTTAGTCAAAAGGTACGCGGGAAGTACGCGGGAGGATAGAATGATGTATGAAGGATGTCGGTGGGAGATAGTGCTGCCAAGACGAGGCGGCATTCAACGGTATGGAGTTGGAAGGCGACAGCGGGTGGCAGAATGATATTTGAAACAAGGCTATTTCATTCGACTTGAAGTAATTTGGATCAGAGAATTGTCTAGGAATTGTCAGAGAATGACGATTCTTGACGGAGAGTCGGAGACAGGTAAGGACAGTTCAGACGCTTCACCGTTCGGGCCTAGGCCATGTACCGACAAAGCAGAAGAAGCGTAGAAATCAGGATGAGCAAGCCAGAGTCGGTGCGTTAAGTTGATGTTGTTGAGAGGAAGAAGCCATACCGTGACGTAATCGCGGCCGCCTCTCTTTGCTATCTCTCTGCACCCATTGTCAGCATGTGGCCACCTACGGTTAATGGCAAACCACCACCCCGACGCTGCCTGCTACGCACGCTCCGGGTTCTCCAACAAGATGGGCTGGGGCACCCGCCCCGCCCTCCTTATCGTGGACGCCTGCATCGCCTATTGGACCCCAGACTCCCCACTCGACACCTCTGGCTACCCAGCGAGCGCTGCTTCCCCCGCAGCGATGAAACGATTGCTTGACGCCGCCCGTGCAGGGAGCGTGCCCATCATCTGGACACGCGTCGAGTACGAGCATGAGGATATGCGTGATGCCAGTGTGTTCTGGCTCAAGGCCAAGTCTCTGGCTATCTTCCAGCGCAGCGATAAGCGTGGACTTGGCGGCTGGGTCGTAGATGCCGGTCTCACTCCCATCGACGGCGAGCATATCGTCACGAAGCAGCAGCCCAGCGCCTTCTTTCGCACCGACGTCGATCAGCGCCTCCGGGACCTCGGGGTGGACACGCTCGTCATCTGTGGGGCGAGTACGAGCGGGTGCGTGAGGGCCTCGACTTTGGATGCTATGCAGTATGGGTATAGGCCTATGGTACGTTTCCTCATCGCTGCCTCTTGGCTTCTCGCTGAGGACATGTAGCTTGTTGGGGAAGCCTGTGCGGAGCGCTCCCCCGAGATACAGAACGCAAATTTGTTTGATTTGGGTTCGAAATATGCTGATATCGTGGCCACGGAAGAAGTTGGGCGCTGGCTGGTGAGCCATTGTCCACGAGAACTTTTTCCAGTGCTTACCGTAATTTCTAAGGGCAAACTAGGGACGCTTTGAATGTTACTCTTGCGAAGTTCGTGAATTGTGAGCGAAGACATTGATTGCTCAAGGCGGCTGCGGACTTTCTCCGATAAGACTTAGGTCTACTGACTACATGACATGAGACTAGGTCATCTACTCATGTCGTCCTCCGGTGTGGTGTATCGGTAACATATCCGCCTCTCATGAACAGGAGACATCCAGATCGACGCGGTTGCGCGGGGTTCGATTCCCCGCACCGGAATTCATTTTGCTTACCCGCTTTTTGCCGCCCTTCTCATTGTCCGCTCTCTGGCACCAACGCAAGCCTCGTGTTATAGTTTCAGCTTCATTCTCGTCGCATCTGTCCTCCGTCTTGACTGGTGATGACTTCTCCCAATTCCATTGGAGTCTCTGGTTGTCTGTGCATCGATGCCGTCTGCTCTCTGCATCTCCCTGTCTCCGTCTCACAGCGGACCTCATTCCACTGTGTCCAGCCGCCAGGAAGACATCGAAAGGACGCTCCGAAAGGTCTTTGATCGTCGACCTCCGCTCACGCAGACTCTGGGTGACTTTAATTGTAGCACTGCCCGATCACGGCAGGCCTTGTTTGGCAAGGAGACCAACTTGAAGCTCCTTCAGCATGACATTCATGATTCGCAACGTGGACGGCGAGCTCATTGTGCCGCGCGAACCTTCAATTCCTTTCGGCACAGATCCGAGACAGCCTCCAAGGATTTGGTGGCCACGGCCCAGCACGGTACGCGCTTTCAATCCAAAGTTTTAACTAGTGTCTGATTTAACCCAGATTTGTCACCTATACATTGACCATCTTCTAATCCTCGATTCCACGACAATGGAATCGGTAAGCTGTGGAGTCCCGTCTTACCTGATGCAGGCCCCAGTTGCCGAAGACGGCGAGAATCTCCGTGATAGCAAACGGACACTGGCAGCAGATTCAATTCCGTCTCTCCTGTCAAAGGAACTGACACAAGAAGTTGGAACTCTTCTTTGATACAGTCTGAGTTTACTCACTGGCATTGCAAAATCGAAAAATCAACCATGGCTTTCCAACAGATTTCCCAAGTAGCGGGCTCTGCCGCCTGGCGGCCCCACCCGCCTTAATGTGGTAAATTGCAAATCTGGAGGGTCGTCGTCGTCTCCGTCTTCCGGGTTGCTTCCGTGCAAGTCATTCTATTCCGGGTTCCCTCCGCTACAGTGACCGCGCTTCCACGGACTTCGAAGACATGACAACATATGAGCCGCATGAACGGAGCGCGTGGTTTGTGGATCCCGTGGATAAGAAGACCGTCGGGTTTCAACTACGGAAACAATGGCGCACGTTGTTAGGGGCCACGCGCGTGATTATTAAAATAGGGAGACTCTTCATTCTGACGCGAGTCCTTCCCCAGGTCCCCCCCCCCCCCCCCCCACTCGAGCGTGTACTATGATCGCCCCAGTGCTCCTGCTTGCGCTCTCCAGCGTCGTGTCGGCTATTCCCGTTAAGAGGTGCGTCGCCGTCGTCGTCCCCAGGTCCATCACATGAACCGTTCCCCGCAGGGCTCAGCCGACGGACTGGATGCAAGCCAACATCGGTCTTTTGGGTTCTCGGCCGCTCATCCACATTGCCATCCCAGGCAGCCACGACGCCGGGATGTCTGTCATTGGCGCCGGTACCGCCTTTTCCGACGCGGCCAACACGCAGACACAGACGCTGAGCATCAACCAGCAGCTCGTCGCTGGCTCGCGGTACTTTGACATCCGGCCCGTCATCTCTGGCGGCGCGTACACCACAGGGCACTACTCGGACGTCTCAGTCATCGACAGTTGGCAGGGAAGCGATGGGCAGAGCATCGCGGATGTGATCAGCGACATCAACTCGTTCACGGCGACCAACGACGAACTCGTCATTATCAATCTTTCGCACGCGTACGACACGGACGGCGACAACTCGGACTACCCCATCTTCACCCAGGCCCAATGGGAGGCTCTGTTTACCCAGCTCCTCGGCCTCAACCATCGCTACGTCGATCCCAACCCGACGACCGTCGACCTCACGCGTGTCCCCCTCTCCACTTTCATCGGTTCCTCCGCCGCCGTGCTCATCATCATCCAACCCGACAGCCCGGTCGACCTCGGCTCCTTCGCCTCGCAGGGCTTCTACCAATACTCCCAGTTGAACGCGTACAACGAGTACGCGGACACCAACACCCTGAGTACGATGGAGAGCGACCAGCTCAGCAAGATGGCGTCTCAGCGAGGGAGCCCCGATCAGAGTTACTTCCTCCTCAGCTGGACGCTCACGCAGGACGCCCTGGAGACTATTGGGCTGGGGGATTCGATCCTTACGTTGGCGAATTCCGCCGATCCGGCGCTGTATACTGCGCTGCCGCCCAAGCTTAGCGCCAACACGTACCCCAATATTCTGTACATCGATAACTTCCAGAATGACGGGAAGATTGTTGATTTGGCCATGACTATTAACACGAATTTCGCAGCACAGTAGTTTGTTTTGTATCGAATGGTATTTCTGTTGGAATTGTAGCCATTGAGAATGACGGGCAGATGTTGGGAATCGGAACGCAGCATAAGTACTATTGGCATTCAGAACCTAACACCAGCAAGTCAACCAGGCTAATCTGCATCATCTGGTGCCAACGCGACGTAATAATTGCATTCCGCCGTTCCAATGTAGATGGACATCTTTTCGAGCCGCTCCGCGGACTCTTGCACCACCGCGACGAGATTATGGATGTCGGAACTCGGATTGTCGACGACGAGCCGAAAGGATTGGAGGATATCCTGCCGGGCGGTGAGGAAATCCGCAACAAGGTGCTGATTTGTCGTATGAACGGAGTGTTGTCTGATCGAAAGACGTCGAACACCCGGAAGGACATCTTTGGGGGTGCCGGCCATCGCCTTGAAGATGGAAGTGCGTTGGCCAGATAGCCTCAACTGAACATCTGTCAGCGCAGGTGCGAGTGCAAGGCATCTCACGACGTCCTCGCACGAGGATACTGTTTTCAAGTGGAAACAGCGCAGAGGCGGGGACGATCGTTTCAGAAATTGTACGAGATCATCCATCAGGAAAAACCTCCCTGGATATTTTATCACAAATCTTTCAAAAATATCTTGCAGCTCAATATTTTGCAGTCATTCTCGAAACTTTTGCCCAATGTTGACAAAGTTTCCAAAATGGAGATTTTGCTTTTCATCAGTATGATATTGGGGACCTGATCAAAATGTAGTACATTAAAGGTAGCTGCTGTACACTGGTATAAAGTACCAATTCCAACTGACCAGAGCTTGTCCACCAAAATTTCTGAAAGCTTTGCAACAATACCACAACTTTTTTTGGTGAGCCAGAAATTTTGAGGTATTTCTCGGCAAACTGGCCAAACTTTTTTTGGTGGCCAGAAATTTTGAGGTATGTTTCAGCAAACTGGCCAAACTTTTTTTGGTGGCCAGAAATTTTGAGGTATGTTTCAGCAAATTTGCCAAACTTTCTGGGCATCCATTCACAGCCAGGAAGTCTTGTATTCCAGGTCACCAACTCACCTCAGTCTTCTGGAAAGTTCTGGTATAGAGTCTGTGGTGCACTTCAAACCAGATCAGTCTCTTTGGAATATGAAGTGGAGGCACATCTGCCTTTGATTGGCTTTCACCTCTCACTAAGCCCATCCCTGAGTGCTCTTCTGTTGGTGAATATTCATGGGGTAACATCATGGGAGCTGAGATGGACACTCTCATGTCTCTATTGTAGTATAGTAGTAAGCTTGCCCCTTTGTATTGTCTGTACCTTTTGTAAGAGGTCATTTGTTCAACTCCCGTTGGCAACACCATTTAATTATCCTTGCCATTTAATTAAAAAGCATTAGCTTCTCAGATCCCAATCACCTCTCTAAGTTCCTGTCAGTCACTCGATGATCACTTGTGCCGGACTGTTCCTGATCACCAATCAGTGAGCAGGCCTGATGGGAAATCTTTTGCTCCCACTGAGCTCCAATGTTCCCCCTCTGCTTGATTCTTCATTTCTGCTCTGTTGGCAAGGTTAAACCAATGCCGATATCCACTCCAAAAGTGCCAAAAGTTTTGGTATTTTTGTTGGGACTAACATATTCTTGCTCATTTTTCGGATATTCAGCTATTCTCAATATTTTTGGCAAATTTTGGCAAAATGTGCCAAAAATACCTGGGGAGGTGTTTCCTGATGTCGCTGACGAGATACTCCCATATCGAGAGGGTTTCGAGGAGCGGCATTGTGACATACGCCAGGAAGCCCTCCAGTTCTGTCACTAGGATTTCTCTAGGTCTGCCAACACGGAGGTCTCGGATCGCGACATGAGACAAGGGCACTGGTGTCGCTCTGGAGAAAGGGGCTCGGAAATCGAATGTCGAGAGATTTGGGGCTGCTCGCAGCATTTCGAGGCATCGTTTCACTGGAAGAGAGGGGCCATACGCCTAGAGTCCTTTTGAGCACTTGATAACCAGAATGCCAAAGTATAGGGCGGACGCACCTGGCAACGACGACACTTTGGGCTGCTAGGTGTGATCGTCAAGGATGCGAGCGAGCAGAAGAGCCTTGATTTCGTCTCCTCGTCCTGGGACCAAAGCAAATCGACAGTATCCAAGCATACGGCCAACGATATAGGGTGCCCCTGGGCCCGAATCCGCCATATCTGCAGGGCAGACAGAAAGTGCGCTGTCGAGATTCCGTCGTCGGTGGGCATAGTCCACAGCTTGGGCATGCTAAGCATGATGCTCTTCCATGTGCGACAGATGTACAAGAGCTTGGACAGCTCCTTCCAACTCGGGGTGGCTGGCAGCGACCGCCGAAGGATGTCGGAAGAAATCTCGACCGGCAATTTTCCTATGGGGTCGAGGATGGCGTTGAGTTCGCTCTGGGCTACGATTCGTTCCCGCTCGAGGCTATCGAAGGTCGTGCAGATTTTTTCGATTCTCGTTCGGAGTTGCAGCACGCGGTTGGATGTAGACATCTGGTGGAAAAGACGAAGAAATGAGTGGCACGTGCACATCATGATCAGGGGATGGTCCAGAACTTGGCACGAGCCACGCGTTTCCCTCGGCGGAGTTTTTTCTGGTCATAACGAGGTTCGCCGCACGTGGAATAGGGGCATTTGTCGAGATCAGAAAATGGGCCGGTGTATGCGACACAACTCCCAAATAAAGTATGAGCAGATCTTAAGATCCGGGTGATTTTATCGCCACCAGAACTGAAGTTCTACGTGAACTTGAGTTCTTGTT